CCCCAAAACCCCAAAACCCCAAAACCCCTTAAAGTAGGATAGATATGTTCGCAGAAAAATATATAAAAAGAATGCAAGAGATCAAACGGAGATTAATGCTTTAATTTGATTTTTCACTTTAATAAATAAATAATCTGAAAGAATGAAAAAATCATCTAAGTCAAACAAAAAGACTAATAACATAACCTCTGCTATAAACTATACTTCAACATCTTAAGGCTATACCCAGAGAACATCTTTAATTAGTGGAAACACACTCATTAATAGGCGACTCCTCAATTGAATGGGAACTCAAGTCCCTCAAATTACCTCCATAAAGTCAACTTGCAATCTGAATTCAGGAATTCATCTTTCGAATGACATGGCTCCATCAAAAAATTATCTCAGAAATAATACAACTAATGATACGAGTATATTTAGCAATCCACAATACAGCTGAATATCTCAAAGTTCATCTAATCTTCATATGAAGGCTGAAAGTATAATGATTCCTAAGAAACAGCTCGCTGAAAAATTTAGATAACCATTAAATACCTCTAGATAAACATCAAACTATCTTTCTGATAAGCACAAGATACAAAGCCAGATATAGGCTACAGAGAAGAATTTCTCAAACATACTGGTGAGAGACCGAATGCTGCAAATAAATCAACACAACTTAAAAAAGAAGTAGCCAGACATCATTATTGAACTTGAAGAGACTCAGAATAAATTACCTTCAAAGTTTTTAAAAAATGCCAGTTTTGGCGTCAAAAACATTTCCTTCACAGAAAATCACAGCTTTGATCTGAAATCATCTGTTTCTTAAGATAGTAGCTCTGGCTAATTCGAAATTAACCCACTATAAAGTGCAAGCAATCATGGATCTGGAAATTTTCTTAAATAACCCATTAATAAGAATGAATTATTATAGTATACACCATAGCCAGAGAGGTGCAATAATAATGATCTATTTGATAAAAATGGTTTTTTTAAATTCAACTTTTAGCAGTAAATCACAGAGAATTTCAACGAAAAGCAGAATGATGACTATGAAGTTTACAGCATCAAAAGCTTATCTAATAATAATCTTAACAATATCTATCATAATGAGTCATCTCGATCTATAATTCCTTATTGTGCAAGTAACTAGCCTACTAGTAATTAAAAGAAAATTGGAAGTGAGAGGATGAGCATAATTATGCAAGAAATAGAAATGCAAGGGCTCAACCTCATCAAAGAAGATTAACTTGAATACATTCCTACTTATCGTCAGACATCAACTTTCAAAAGAGAGGAAACTGAAGAAATGGCCGATTAAGATATTGATGAAGATGTTTAAAAGAACTAAGTATCATAACCCTATATGAACCAATTTAATATGATCTCTTTATTGAAAGTAGTACATAGAAATAGCGACTTTAATGTTAGTAGATAGTAAACAGTAAGCCAACTTTTTTAAATTACAATTTTTATAGAGTGAGACTACATATACGAAGGATAAACTCTATAGCAATGGAGTTAGAAGTGGTGCTTATACACTGAAGGGGCAATATGATACTGATTCAACTGATATTTAGACCCCCCTATATTCATAGGTAAACTAGCATTATTTTTAATCTATTTATTAGTAAAAGTTCAGAGCAATAAACTCAGACGAGAAATCATAGCGTCAAATAAACAGAAGGAATTATGCGCAAAGTTCCAAAAATGTTCTTTGGTCTGTTATGCCGAGAACTCTATCACCCGAGCCACTTTTATTCAGAAAGAACTTTTCTAATCATGAACAATATACCAGTGAGTAGAAAAATGTAGCAAGCAATCAAAAGTGTTAGGATGAAAGGTATCAAACGACAAAGATCGAATATAAAGGAAGATTAGAATAACTTAGTGAAATATAGACTTAAAATATGAAACTCAGTCATCTTCTTAAAATTCTTAACCAAAAGAAATCTCAACTTAGATTCAAGTATGAATTAATTAGCAGGAAAAATACTGAGCTAAAAACTTAGATAAATTTTCTCAACAATGTAAAAGTTAATGAATGATACTAGCATATTAAGTGAGTAATCAATCCAATATTATTTATATGATTTAAAAAAGTTATTTATTGTTTAAGAGTATTAACAACCTAATAATGATTTTAAGTACCAATACAAGCATTAGGGGTTTTGGGGTTTTGGGGTTTTGGGGTTTTGGGG